GTGCAGTGAATCAGTGAGACTCTGTGCACGGATGAACTGAACGCCATGATCTCTGTGCGTTTATCTGATCAAGACTGCTTGAGATAACACTTCCAATTCTTTTCTCAAAGTTAGATTTCTGGATATCGTTGACCTTTGCGCTTCATCTTGATCCTGTTTCTTTGATCCCATTCATCATGTATCTATTGTTCAGTGCTGTTCACGATGCGTAAAGTGAAGCTCATTTCCAACTTGTAAATATGCGGTTTTATTTTACATTAAAACATTTCGTTAAAAGACTTCACGTGCTTCAGAAAACACAGACAGACAAAATAAGTCACAATGTAGTATGGCATTTCCCCAAAAACAAAGCTGAAAATGAACATCATAAATTAGGAGTATTCAATCAATCAAGCACACAATAAGAAACGAATGAAATAGCAGCACAAACAGCTACATTTCAAACAGTGGGATTCAACATCGACACAAAATAACAACAACCTGCTGTGACATTACAGTTCTCAAGATATCACAGTGCGAAAACAAAGTTACTACATTGACTTGAAAATGTCAAAGATTCAAGTAAGAACAATCTCATTACTGCAGTGAAGAGTCAAACCTGAATGAGCGTCAGTTAAACGCGTTAAAGAGTCGCTAACTAGCTTTGGCATGAGGAGGAATTGCACTTCAACGCAAAAGCGCTCGAAACGTCACAGAATGACTGTGAATCCCATCAGTTCGCACATTAGCAGAGCACCGAGAGCTTTCAGTGTAAACGTGTGAGGAGTTTACGACATTAGCATTAGCATTAGCACTAGCGTGTGAGCCAGACGTGATGGATCTGCTGCATTCACGCTCAGGGCTTCAGACTCATTTAATAACATCAAACAGTGTTAAAGCAGTCACAAATGTTTCTTTCCGTCTGAACACAAGGAATATTTCCTGTTAAAGATGCAGTCGACCGTTCGCGAAGAGCTTGATTGACAGGCGATCTGACCGAACATAACGCCGAATCCGCCATCTTGCCCGACAAACAAATCAGACAGTACAGTGGATTAACTCCGGTGGACTTAAACTTGAAAAATGTTGTGCATTGATGTCTTTCTGCGGTTGAAATACAATAGGTTCTGATGTTCATTCATGTTTATTTCGTGCTGTAAGTAAACATGAAAAGACGATCGGTTCACGTGCCGCTTGAACTGAGATGTTACAGCGATCGTATTTTTTACTGCGTGAGAACATGAGTGTAGTGTGAGAGCGGCATGGCTTGTCGGACATAGCAACAGTAACTAACCTGGGTTTTTGCAAAGGGTCAGTTATACTTCTATTTTAACGCAAGCACTGAGTTGGTCTAAGGAGCACCACGTGATCATAATGCAATCAAATAAAGAGATGTTAAGAGTAGGTTTGCATTCATTCGTTCTAGTGCTCAAATCTCAGACTCGCTCCACGTGTCGCAGTTTTCATTAATAACGACAGATAAAATAAACGTTTTCGTCGTCATGTCAGTGAATGTGTGGCCTGTTCAGTCTGATCTGGTGTGCTTTTTTTTTTCACTAAACATGAAAGACAGCATTAGTTAACGCTACAGTATAGTTTCACAATCGTACGGATCAACCGCTGTCTTGAGGATTCCAAAATTATTATTTATTCAGTTGCTAAACGAAACATTGACAGCCAATCAGAATCCATCCTGCTTTATAGGGTGCGAGCATTTAAAACGGCAGACGACAAAACTGCAGAGTGCTTATAATTAACAGAATGCTATTGTACGTAGGTGTGAACGCCTATAGTTATCAATATCATTATCATTAAAATCACTCCTGGTGTGAACAGGCTTTTATGGTGAAGAATTCATGATGCATTCACACATTAATCCACAGGAGAAAACAAAACATAGTCTAAATACAAAAAATAGCGGGGATGGCGTTTCTTCTCTGATGACGTCAGTCTGAGATGGTGATAAAATCCAAGCACAGCCTCGGTTTTGAAACTCAACTAATACTGGAGTCAAGCTCAAGTCTCTTTAACAGGGTTTCCTGCAGGTTTGAATCATAATTTAAGACTTTTAAAGGTTTTTATTTAAGACTTCTGAAATGCTTCAAAGTTTGAAATTCCAATTATTAAAAAAAAATAAATAAATACAAATAAAAAAAGCTTAAGGCTCGAATAGCTCTGCTCCAAAACCTTTTACTTTTACTGAAAAAAAGCTCTTCCTCTGTATTTTTGTTGTTTACCAGTGCAAATGTCTAAAGATGCCAAATGAACATATGAAGTGTTTTCTGAGAAACTGAACAAAATGAAGAACAAATGGGCTCAGAAAACTTAATTCAAAGGGAAAGCAAGTTTTCATTCCCGATTGACAGATACAGTGGGTGTTCGTTTTAATTATACCCCCTTTTCATTTTGTCTCTTTGTTATATTGCAGCCATTTGCTAAAATCATTTAAGTTAATTTTTTTTCCTCATTAATGTACACACAGCACCCGGTTTTTGCAAAGGGTCAGTTATACTTCTATTTTAACGCAAGCACTGAGTTGGTCTAAGGAGCACCACGTGATCATAATGCAATCAAATAAAGAGATGTTAAGAGTAGGTTTGCATTCATTCGTTCTAGTGCTCAAATCTCAGACTCGCTCCACGTGTCGCAGTTTTCATTAATAACGACAGATAAAATAAACGTTTTCGTCGTCATGTCAGTGAATGTGTGGCCTGTTCAGTCTGATCTGGTGTGCTTTTTTTTTTCACTAAACATGAAAGACAGCATTAGTTAACGCTACAGTATAGTTTCACAATCGTACGGATCAACCGCTGTCTTGAGGATTCCAAAATTATTATTTATTCAGTTGCTAAACGAAACATTGACAGCCAATCAGAATCCATCCTGCTTTATAGGGTGCGAGCATTTAAAACGGCAGACGACAAAACTGCAGAGTGCTTATAATTAACAGAATGCTATTGTACGTAGGTGTGAACGCCTATAGTTATCAATATCATTATCATTAAAATCACTCCTGGTGTGAACAGGCTTTTATGGTGAAGAATTCATGATGCATTCACACATTAATCCACAGGAGAAAACAAAACATAGTCTAAATACAAAAAATAGCTGGGATGGCGTTTCTTCTCTGATGACGTCAGTCTGAGATGGTGATAAAATCCAAGCACAGCCTCGGTTTTGAAACTCAACTAATACTGGAGTCAAGCTCAAGTCTCTTTAACAGGGTTTCCTGCAGGTTTGAATCATAATTTAAGACTTTTAAAGGTTTTTATTTAAGACTTCTGAAATGCTTCAAAGTTTGAAATTCCAATTATTAAAAAAAAATAAATAAATACAAATAAAAAAAGCTTAAGGCTCGAATAGCTCTGCTCCAAAACCTTTTACTTTTACTGAAAAAAAGCTCTTCCTCTGTATTTTTGTTGTTTACCAGTGCAAATGTCTAAAGATGCCAAATGAACATATGAAGTGTTTTCTGAGAAACTGAACAAAATGAAGAACAAATGGGCTCAGAAAACTTAATTCAAAGGGAAAGCAAGTTTTCGTTCCCGATTGACAGATACTGTATGTGTTCGTTTTAATTATAAACTCCTTTCATTTTGTTCAGGTCTTGTCCACACTAGCATGTTTTTTTGTTTGAAAATGCATCTTTTTCTCTCTGTTTTGGCCTTCAGATCACAGCGAGACAGCTTTTTGAAAACGCTCTCCAAAGTGGATATATCTGAAAACAGTTTTCGCTTTGTAGTGTGGACTGTGAAAAACGATGACGCATGTTTAGTCATGTGACATATCGATATATATCTATGTTTATACCGGTATTGTTACGTGCTATTCACTTTCACACTGTTGCTACAGATGTGCTACTTTGTACACTCTTCATATCACAGTCCTGCAAAGACATGTTCACGAGGGCAGTTGTATATTAGATCAGACGTACAATCGTGAGTGAGTGCGACCTGGGTTAGGGTCAGTGAATGATGAGATCTTTTCCTAAATAAAATGATCCTGTCAGAAGAATTGCATGAAAACGTATCATTGTTCTGTCTGTATCGTCTCGGTCAGCTCTTATGAGGTTTTACACATGCGCAGTAAAGCGAATGTAACGTTTTCTGGCGTTTCCATGGGGATGAGAAACTTTTGGAAAACACTTGAAAATTCTAGTGTTTTAAAATGAAATCGGCGTTTTCAAATGTATCCGGATTAATGTAGACGTAGCCTCAGCTTCTCAGAAAACAAGCTTTCATATGAGCATTTTGTATCTCATGTATGTTGATTTAAGACGTTTAGATATTTGTACTGGAAAACAAGACAAAAACAATGAGGAAGAGATTTGTTTTTTTTCTAGTGCATGCAACATTTAATGCCATGCTTTTATGGATTTAAGACTTTCTGATTTAAGACCCTTTAAGGCCTTAAATTTGTGAAACAGTCAATTGAGATGTTGTAAGACTTGCAGATATAACTCTGTTATTTCATTAGAAACTGACCATCTTCAGAGCGTGGACATCACAGTAAACTGAACTGAATTCAGCATTCAAACCGGACTGAATGAGTGTGAACGCAGCCAATCTATCGACTAGAGCCGGATTCTCACGCCTGAAACAAACATTTAAGACAAAGGCTGGAAGAAGATGCAGTGGATTACATTGTTTCTGAAGGGAATGCTCCCCCGATCTACCTAAATGCGTCTATGTTCACGCGAATCATTCGTGATCCAGCTTCACCTCCAGAAGAAGTGAGTATAAGGTTCTTTTATGAATCTTTACAAATCGTCTTTCCTAATAATGTGCTAATTAGCATGTTCCGCAGCTAAAGTAAACGGTCTCATGAGAACGGCTCGTCAACCCACGGAAGAGAGGGGCGGGGTCTGCAGAGCTCATTAGCATTTAAAGAGACATGCACCAAAACGGCTAGCTGTGAACAGAGCTGTTTTTGACCGGGTAAACAGGGTGTTGTTTTACACTACCATTGAGGAATTTTAACCCAAGTATGTTACAGACTTTTCATTAAGACCCTAAAGAATCATATCAACTTGTGGTAAATGGGCATCCGATGACCCCTTTAAGAAACGTTTAGAAAGTCAAACCCAAACATCGATGACTTGCAGAAAAAAAGCTTTAGAACAAGAAGTGTGGGCTAAATCAGTCACAGCCGATTAACAAGAAGAATTTCCCAAAACGATTGGTGAGAGTGTAGCTCTCCCTCTGGATCGCCGTCGGAAGTCTTTGGATAATTAGCATTATCCGAAGCAGTAGTACTCGTCGGTTTCCACGCGAGGCCGCAGCAGAGGCTTGCCGAGCGTCTCCTGGTCCGCGGGGGGTCTGAGGCCGTCTGAGAGGCTAGCGGGCGAGCGGCGGTCGGGCTCCTCGTCCCCGAGCGTGTCCAGATAACTGCCCAGCGAGATCCCGTCCAGCCCGTCGCTGCAGGAGCCGCGCTCAGACTCCGCGCCGTCTGATAGGCTGCACAAGCTGTCCGTCACACTGCCCTCGCCGCTGGCCCCGCCCCCTCGCTCCTCCATCACCCAGCGGATCGACTCGATGCCCTCGTTGATTGACAGCAGCTGATGCATCAGTGTCACGTCGATGGCGCGCAGATGAGCCTGCGACCGAGAAACACGTCAGAAACACAACTTATGACCTAAAATAGCTAAATATTATTAGAATCTAAAACAGCTGTTTTCTATGTGAATCTCTGTTAAACTGTAATTTATTTCTGTGATGCGCAGCTGTATTTTCAGCATCATTACTCCAGTCTTCAGTGTCACATGATCTTCAGAAATCATTCTAATATGCTGATCTGCTGCTCAAGAAACATTTCTGATTATTATCAATGTTGAAAACAGTCGTGCTGCACGATATTTTTGTGGAAACTGTGATACATTTTATCTTTCAGGATTCACAGATGAACAGAAAGTTCAAAAGAACAGCATTTATTTGAATCTTTTGTCACACTATAAATGTCTTTTCTGCCACTTTTGATGAATTGAATGTATTAATGAATACAAGTATTATTTATTTAAATATATGTTAAGGTAGAGTAGTTTCAATTAGGGGTCTGCGATACTGACAGCAAATTACATCTCAATATTTTCTGGGATTTTATGGATTATGGTAATTAGATGATATTTTGCTGAGTGTGTTATTGTGCTGATATGTTAAGTGGACAGCTGACTCCTACAGTTTTTGATATTCTTCATATTCTAAACGCATTTTAATAGACTGAATCATGCAGTGAAAGAACACACTCTAAATCGCGCGTGCACTCTGTTTTGTTTGGTTTTTGTGATATACTCGATAATGTCAAATCGCTTATTGTTAAAACAAAATTACGATATTACCGCAGACGATAAATCGCACACTCCTAGTTTCAGTACTATAAGGTCTGTTTAACTTCAAAGCACAAATAATGCACACTTTTGTGCAGAAAAATTCTAAGTCGTCCTTTAATACAAACAAATTTCACATTTCTGCTTTCAAACCTTCAATATTTTCATTCACTTCCAACTTTAAGTACATTAATGCAATCACAGGCTCTCTTTTGGTTTAAACTGGGGAAACAAAACTATTTTCTGTGGTTTATAACCGCAAGTGCTGTTGATTCAGCTGAACTTGATCTGAACCTTGAACATTTCTGTAAAATTAAAAGCATTTAAGTCAACAGTGTAATTGTACAGCCGCTGAAGTACTAGTAAACACACACACACACACACACACACACTAATGGAAACACAATCCCTCGTCGGTCTAATGAACCCAAACGCCCCACAGAGACTCATTCCTCTGTAATAATCTCATTATCTGAGACGTCTCGTCTGCTCGAGACAATAGAGGACTAGATGAACATGATGAGTGATGAAACACTGGAGACTCAAAGGAGTCGAACTAATACGACACACTGAATAATTTATGGCGATTCAACCCAAGATCCTCTCGGATGAACCGGCTTTGTTTCGTTTCGCAGCACAATACAGGCAAAACATCTCAGCAAGGCAAATAAAGCCAATACAAAGAGGCAGATTTGCATGAGATTCGCGTCAGACGTGAAGACGAGCGACTGTAACACGAACCCTCAGACAGACCATAATACTGCCACTGTTCCCCACGGCAACACACACGCCGTCATTGTGTGTTACAGGAACAGTCCAGCGATGCATTAACTCTGCTGTTACAGCAAATGAACAAAACAAACCGTGTGGATTGGACTGGAATTAACAGGAGGAAACGATGACGGATGTTGAGTGAACTGTCCCTTTAAGCGATCAATGCTGACACACTTTCAGTATCTGATGGTCTGATGAACACTGGGAGCTTGTTAAGATGTAATGGTTAAAAGGTTTACAGCCTTGAAAGGCAACAGCCGGTCTGAGAGAGAGAGAGTGTGTGTGTCCATTTATGGCCTGTGAATGTGTGTGTGTCTGTGTGTGTGTGTGTGAGAGAGAGAGAGAGAGA